TTGTAAGCTTTGCCTCAGGATCTGTTTTCTAAGGAACTCAGGCAAAACCAAACACAATGCAAAAATATGAAGTAGAGCCAGAGTTCAGGAACTGTGTTCAGGTTCATGGAAGTGCTCAGGTTTCTGTAGTACATTCCCAGGGGCACTGCAGGATATATCAAAATTTTGAGGGAAACTCAGAGATACTTGACATTTGTTAGACACCATGCATACTACTGGCTCAATGTAGTTGATAGTTTCAACATTAGATTATACTACATTCTTTCAGTGACATCATTATGTTGGCAAAGCTAGGTTTTGGTGGTTACAACTTAATGCAGTATTAAAGAGCAATACCACCTGAAAATCGGTATGGAATAGGAAATGAAGGTGGTAGTGTCCAATATGATCCTAAGATTTGAGAGGTTGTGTCATGCTCATTATTATTACTCATTAGTAAGTGATTGTGGCTGCTTACAAATGAAATACAAACATTTTTTCTATTTATGGTCTTTTTTTTTTTTTTCAAATAGCTACTAATGTTGTCAAGAAGTAAATGTTTATTGAATTGTTAGCACCTGAATATCTAATAATAAGTGTTAGGTTTGTCTTTATAAATCTCAGCCTAGAAGTGCCAGGATAAGTAATTACTGAGACATTCAGTAAGGGTGGTGTGAACTGAGAAAGTTTGGGAACCTCTTAGGTAGAGCTTTATAGGTAGGCAGGAATAAGCTTAGCATGTGATGTGGTTTGGTTCTGTGTCCCCACCCAAATCTCATCTTGAACTGTAATCCCCATATGTCAAGGGAGGGACCTGGTGGGAAGTGATTGGATCATGGGGGTGGTTCCCCATACCGTTCTCATAATAGTGAATGAGTTCTCATGAGATCTAATGGTTTTATAAGGGGCTCTTCCCCTTTCACTCTTTGCTCTTTCTCTCCTATGGCCATGTGAAGAAGGTCCTTGATTTCCCTTCACTGTCCACCATGATTGTATGTTTCCTAAGGCCTCCCCAGCCAGGCAAAATTGTGGGTCAGTTAAGCCTTTTTCCTTTATAAATTACCCTGCATCAGGCAGTTCTTTATAGCAGTGTGCAAATGGACTAATACCTCATGTGTGAGAAATGGGATGTTAGGAGAGCTGAGTGAAAAAGTGATGGACTGCAGGGATGGAGGAGGCACAGAAGAGACCAAGTATGGCCTTGTGGGCTTTGACAAGGGAGCTGTTATCATTTCTGCACAACATGATACACAGAAGCTTACTTCTGGAAACTTCTTTTTCTTTTCTTCCTCAGCTACATTTCCAAAAGCTCTATTATCTTTCACTGGTTTTACGCATAACAGAGGTCTTCAATGTGTGCATATGCATATTTAAATGTGTCACTTGCTTTTTAAAAAACATGATTCTGTGTTATTTCTGGAAAATTCCTGAAATTCCTGAACACCACATACATTTAAAAATGTTAGATGTAATGTTCTCATTATTATCTGGTCTTATAGTCTTACCTAGATTTAAAATTTTTTTCTTCTTTCTTTTAATCTTCACATTGAAGCCCTTTTTATCAAGTCTAGCATTTATGAGACTCAAGTTTGGTATTTAAGACTAGGATGATACCTGTTTTAGGTTGAACAGTAATTACTAATAGAAAGGTGAGTTCAGAAGCCCACCAAATGGGGCATGGCCTTGGGTCCAGTGAGGGAACTATTGCCCATCTGAGGACTGAGTTTAGACTTTCAGGTCCAGACACTGGATGTTTCAATATACTCAGAGATGCTCATTTTCTTGGTTATGTACTTATGTTACTCCAAATCACATGCCACGCAATTTCAAAGCAGAATGTCAATTTCTTTTTGTGATTAGAATGCTTCTGACCCATTTTCAAGGATTCCACTTTTTGTGTCAAGGAAACTAAGAAGGAGGATGAGTAATTACAAGGTTACTTGGCGATCATTGAAAAACAGAAAGGAAAATAAATTGTCTAAGAGAATGATTAATATTTTAAGTAACTTCTCAGAAGTCCACCCCACAACAAAATTAATTTGTTTTTTGCTGGAATTATTTGTACTTCTCAGTTGTCTCTTTGTCTTAAGTTAATGTTCAATGACTGTTTCTTTTTAAGTCCAATATTCCTCGGTTTAAAATGCATTATATGCTATTGAAACATAAAATACACACCTGACAGTTCCAGCTGGCTTTTCTGATAGCCTGGGAGACATTCTGTCTTCTGTTGGTATGTATTTATTGAATCAGGCAAAACCTCAAGATTCTACTAGAGCCATTCAACTCCACTTCACTGTGACCATTTTCTTATGTATCTTTCCAGAAATATTTATATCTCTATAGACCTTCTTTTCTCCATAAATGACAGCATACTACTAAATACTCAGCATTGTTTTTCTTTTTTTGTTGATGCTATATATTTGAGATTGTTTTATACTAATGAAAATTAACTTGCCTTATTTATCGTGACAGCTCCAGAGACTTCCATTGTTTGGATGAATAAAAATTTAGGTTGTTTTCACTGTTAAATTCCTTGTGCATACCTACAAGTATATCAGAGGATGAATTTTTAGAAGTAAAATTGCTTGGTTTGTTAAGTTATACATTTCAAAAATGGATAGATATTGTAAAATTTACCATCAGAGATTTTACTAAAGTACATCAACAATTTGGGAAAGCATTTGTTTTCATACCCTCCCCCCACCAAACCATCTATTATCAAACTGTTTGTTCTGAAAAAATGACATTTTTATTATGTTCATAACAATGTATATTTCTTTTCTCAGTCAATAAACACTTAATGATGACCTATGATATACACAGTTAGGCTATTATGTTACCTGCTTATTATTACTGAGGATACAGTGATAAACAACATATAGCCTTTATATACATCTGGGAGAAATAGACACATGACAGTTGTAGTGGTCCAAGTATAGTACAATGGTGCAATGGGAGCTATGGAAGGTACGCCCATCACAGTCTAGAAAGGGATGATCAATGGAGGCTTCTAGTAGGGAGAAACATGAGGAGAGACATGTAAACTAAAATCTGATGGAGGTGTAGTAGTTGGCTTGGCAAATGTTTGGAATAGGAGAAGCAAAGAAGAGACAGCAGAATTACACGTGCAAAGGTGGGAATGGCGAGACCAGAGAGCATGTGGGGTTTGCACACAGAACAGTTCAGACCCTCACTGTCATGACAATATGAAGGGATAGTGGGCAGTGCTCCACCACCCACCAATGTAGCCCTCAAAATCAGTTAAGGAGTTTGAACTTTATCCCAATGGCAATGTGACATAATCGGAAGTTTTTAAGTGGAGCCGTGACAAAGCAGAAGCATCTTGGGGCTCACACTTCAGACTGGATTGGGGAAGATACAGCTGAAAGTAAGTGGGAGTAGTGAGGGGGCTGTCCCAGTAATTGGGTTAGGATGACATTTGCTTGATTTAAGGGAAGTGCTAGATATTCATGGATCTTGCTGTTGAAGTACCTAATACACGACTGTCCCTTCTGAAAACGGGGTGCACTAAACCGAGGTGAAGCACAAAGACCACTGAGCAGCCTGGCTTGACTCCTGGCTTTGCCAGTTTGTACTTGCACGTGTCCAAGCCCTTGAGAGGTGCTATGGAAACGCAGAGGTGGATGGGGGAAGTGCTTCCACAGCACTTGGTATATAAAAAGGAGGGCTTCATAACTGCTAGCAGATTTAATTTTTATTATTACTTTTCCTCCCTGCACTACGAAAATGCATTTATCTTTGTCTTATTATAAGGTAAATATGAGGAGAATTACAGAATATGGGTGTTAGAAAAGATTCGATATATCTCTGTTCATTTTCCTAATTTTAGTGGTGAGGAAATAAAGGGAAAGCAAGCAATTTAGATTGTTTCCAGTCTTAAATTCTTTGTTCGTGGGCACACCACGCCAACCTGAAACTGTTCACTGGTCTGATTCTCTTACCACCACGTACATGTAGGTTTGTAGTTTGGTTATGAACTCCACCTTGTCTTAACCCATAGATCGTTTCTGTGTTTGCCGACAGCAGCAATTTCTTGGGTGGAAACCCCTAATTTGGGAAACAATCTGTCTTAAACACTTTGCAGCACATCACTCAAACCACACAGTGTTTGATAATCTTAGAAACAAAAACTGGCGTTGAGGTGGACAGTTAAATTCTGCAGCTTGGATTCGTTTCAGCAGTGGGGTCTCAAGTGGTTTGAAGCCCCTTCCGCCTCATTTCCTTATCCGAACACCACAGCGGCGCCAGGCGCTCGGGTCCTCACTTCTGCCTCCTGGATTCCCTCCGCCTTTCTGCTTCACCGAGGGCCCTGCGATCCGATTCAATCGAATTAACCGCTGTTTAGCGAGCGTCTGCTGCGCCTAAGGAAGGTGCCGGGCGAGGAGCTGGGTGGGGACGCATTTCGGGGATGCTGGGGGCCCGGCCCGGAGACTGGAGGTCGGTGCTTCGACTTGGCACTCGCCGGCGAATTCGCTCCAACATTCCCACCAGCGGCGCTCCTGCTAGCTACCTCCCTTTCCCCTAAATGCAGCTCCCGCTACCTTCCCGCGCCCGGGGGCTGCTGCGGGCCCCAACTCTGCTGGCTGGAGGGCGGCGGTGGAGAGGGTGCTGGCCCAGAGTCGGCAGCCGGGCTCAAGACCCAGGTGGGCGCCCGGCGGTCCTGGTCCCAGCCTCGCGGTGCAAGACCCAGGGCGCGGCCGCTCTCCTCGGAGTTCCCCGGACGCTCTCCTTCCTGATGCCCGCCGTGCCTGCCCTGGCGTCCCCAGCCCGGGGGCGTAGCCTCTCCTCCTCTCTCTCCTCCTCCGCCGCAGCCCGTCGCCCCTGGGCAGAGTTCAGGTTCAGCCCGGGCTTTCGCTCGGGATGTAGGAAGAGGCCAGCGGGGCTGGAGGGCGCGGGCCGGCGCGGGAGGGTGCGGGAGGCGGGGAGCGGCGGCCTCTGATTGGCCGGGGCGGGGGAGTGAGCGGAGTTTCCCACAATGCCCCGGTGCGGTGCAGCCGCGGATGGATGCTGCGGGAAGGGGCTGCCATTTGCTGCCCCTGCCAGCGGCGCGCGGACCTGCCCGCGCTCCCGCAGCCGCCGCCGCCGCCGCCAGCGCCGCCAGCCCGCCCGGTCTTTGCAGCTGCGCCGCCTGCGCTCCCTCCGCGGCCGCCGGAGCGGGCGCCATGAACCCCAGCTCCTCGGCGGGAGAGGAGAAGGGGGCGACGGGCGGCAGCAGCAGTAGCGGAAGCGGCGCCGGGAGCTGCTGCCTGGGCGCCGAGGGCGGCGCAGACCCGCGGGGTGCAGGGGCAGCCGCAGCGGCAGGGGCCGCTGCCCTGGAAGAGTCCCCGGCCGCCGGCCAGAAGGAGAAGGACGAGGCGCTGGAGGAGAAGCTGAGGAACTTAACTTTCCGGAAGCAGGTCTCGTACAGGTAGGCACGGGGAGCCGGCAGCCGAGACAGGTGCGCCGCGGCTGGAGACCCACTCTTCCCCCAGCAAGGGGCGCTTCCGCAGAGTTGGGCACCTCTCTGTTTCCATGCCTCTCCTGCCCCCTTTCCCCCTCTCCTCCCGGGGATGTCTGTCCTCTCCCCATCCTATCATTACAGGTTGGAGGGAAGCAACGCCTGCTTTCCCCCATGGCAGGAGAGAACCTTTGGGTCCCTAAGGTTAGAACAACAGAAACTGTGTGTGTGTGTGTGTGTGTGTGTGTGTGTGTGTGTGTGTGTGTGTGTGTAAGAGAGAGAGAGAGAGAGAGAAAGGTTACAGACTCAGAGATGCTTAGTTTTCTGAAGAGAAGTCATCAAAGTTGCCCCTAAGCAGGTATCATCTTCAACCCCCCCACACACGCCTTCCAGATTTCACTGGATGGACCTTTGGCACTAACTTGGTAGCTGAGATCACTCTTACAGACAGAAAAGAACAGCACTGTACTGAGGAGAAATCCTTGTGGAAGTTGGACCTGCCTCAAAATCCCCAATGAAGGAAGAATGGGTTTATGTCTGTAGATTCACCACTGGCTATGGGGGTTCCATGCCTGCATGGTCCCTGCCTCTCTCCTGGCTGGAGGAGGGTGTGGGGAGCCCACTGGCAAGCTAGGGGTGAAGGTGAGAGTGGGGACCATATTGGTACCTAAGGATGATTGTATGTGTAAGACAAGGACAGTGTGGGATCAATGGCCTCTAAATTAGGATAAAAGATAACCCCATGTTGTTTTAGAATACAACAAGGAGAAATTAGGATTTATTAGGGCCTCTCTCTCCCCTCCCTTCCACAGATAAGAATAAAGATATTGACAGGTTTGAAGAGTTGTTGACACTATGTCTGCTGCTTGTTGATGTGAAAGGTCAAGGTAACATGCAAGCATAGGTTTACAAAGATGTGCATTTGCTGGAGCTAAGAGAGTTTCTGGAAAAGGGGTCAGTGAAAACATTCTTGTAACCCTACTCTTTCTGAGTTAGTGTTCCCTTCCCGAAAACCATATAAAGTATTAAGCCTGTCACACCATGTGCTGTTATGTAAGCAAACACAGATGACAGAGGTGTGTGGGTTTGGGAGGGTGTGTTTTATTTATGGGGGCAGGTGTGTGAATCATTGGGATCCCCACAGGCATCACCTGGCCTGGAGGCCACAGTCACTAGGGCATGTGCTCTGTGTCTGAGTGTTGACTTCTGATGACTCCTGAAACGCCTTCCTGGTGAGGTTGTTGCTTCTGCGTTCCTTGCATGCATTTTGTTCTCCATGCGCTGGGGGAGTTCTCCACCTGAGTTGTTCTCTTAGTTACTCACACAGATCAGGTCCAAATGGATCTTTCTTTTTATACTTTGGTTTCTAAAAATAGTCAGTTGGTGGGGAGAGGGGTAGCTCTAGGGAGGTATGCTAGGACACAGGCAGTTCTACTTCCTAGTTATGATGGCCTGTCTGGCCCTTGGGGGAACAGGGACTACATTCAACCTAATTTAGGAGCTGTGAGTTGGAAGGGGGTGGTGATTACATGAAGCACAGCGTGGGCTGCTCCTGGCTCATTGGTATTCATCAAAGTCCTCATTGGGTAGGAAAACAAAGGCAGAGTTTGCAAGGGAAATCATTTCAGCTTGCCTGTTGGCAGGGGTCAGTCTCTGAGCCTCCTTCCTCAAAATGTATGTTGTGTGGGGTTGTGGCTTTCTGAGTGCATGCTCACACATGCAAGTGTAAGTGTGTACCCACACAAACATAGACATGAACACAGACTCAGCATGTTTCTATAGAATAATATAACATTGCGTCTATTTTACACTCCATCCATGGAGGTGGATTCTACTTCATAAACATCATTTCCTTTTAAATAAAGCTTTATACTCCAATTAAATGAACCACCTGCATCAGTGTCACCTCAGGTGGCTGGTTAAAAGTGCTCACCACCCCAGACTTACAGAATCAAACTGTCTGTGGGTGGGAAGTTTTAACAGGCTCCTCAGGTGTTTATGCACACTAATATCTGGGGATTGCCACCCTGATTCCACCGCCACCAAATTAAACAACTGATCTTTGAATTCATAAATGCTACCCAGCCAAACCAGGCCAAGTGGTCTCAAAGTCAGAGGAAAGATGGTGAAAAAAGAGGTGCTCCCATCTGGAGCATGTTTGTCCCTGGGTAACAGGAAAGTGTCTTCATTTTGATCACTGTTACTAACTTGTTTTGGAGTCATGATGAGTGGCCTGCCCACTCACCATGGTGGCCATTCGTGCTGGACTCCTGCAGCTGGGCTGGCTGTTTTACTGTGGGATGGATGAAGGGTCTGCAAAAAGAAAAGCAGCTTTGGCAGGAGCTGAGGGTCAGCTCCTCGGTGAGGACCACACCACCTCCCTTCTGGGGGCATCTGAGGACGGGGCCTGGTGGGAGCTTATAGAGAGGAGGCAGGAAGGCCTCAAAGAATACAGCCTGAGTGAAAGGGCTTAGTTAGGATATGGAGCATGGCTGCCTGTGTAAGGGGGATCATTTGAGGTGGAGGAGTGGAGATTTGCAGGTAGGCAAAAAATATCTTTTGAAGAACATGGATATTTTTGGAAAGAAACTTAACAGGCACAAAGAAGGGGGCTTTGGGAGAGGGTGTGTGTGTGGGTGTGTGTGTGTGTGTGTGTGTGTGTGTGTGTGTAGGGGGGTCTCATCTGCTCCTTCTGTTGCTAAGGAACATATAAGCTAGGGTTTAAAAATAAATGAGGAGTGGGTGGGCATATGCAGTGACTCCTGTCTTTTTAGGAACCAGAGCCCTTTACAAAAAGCCTTTAAATAACCATTTCTGGAGGCAGATAATTCATTTTGCTTGACTTCTACTTTGTTAAGTAAAATAAACTCCTTTCTATACTCCTAGATTTCCCCTCATTATTTTTCCTTTGTTGGCTTTTTTTGAGAACCATTTTTCCCATGAGAATTTTTTGCTTTATTTCAGAATCTGCACCCCTAGAGCAAATAGTCTCTGTCGACTATAAAGCTGAAGGTTTGAAAAGGCAGTGCAAGTGAGCTAGTACTTTTCTTTTAAAATTACTACTTCTATTTTCTTTGCAAATTACGGTGCTGCAACAGATACATATGTGTAAATGACTATATAATGTGTAGGAACTTTTTTTTTAAACTGCTGTAAGAATTCCCATTTAAGTCAGTAAAATAAAAAAAAAAAAGCCTTCAGAAACACATAAGGGAGGGGAAGGAAAAGGTAGCTGATGTTTATTGTCTTCTATGCAACAGGTGCTGGGCTAAGCCTTATTGTATATTCTGTCTTAATTAATCTTCATGACAGTCCTATGATGTGATTATGACTATTTCCATTTTATGGAAAATGAACCTTAAGCATAGAGCTGGGCAGGAGGCAGAATTTAAACCCAGATGACTCTAAAGGGCTTTCTCTTTAGACCACATCATGCTGCTTCCCTAAACGTTTATTTTAGGTTTGAACTCTCTCCATGTGTCCATATGTGTGTGCATGTGTGTGTGCAGTGTGGGCTGTTCTTCCCCCTCATCCGTAATACACTACAGGTCATTATATATTATCTCTAGAATACCTTTTTTTTTTTTTGGATTGTGGCCCTTTACCTATATAATTTTAAGGAACTCTTCTACCATCTCAGAAATAAAAATGAATATAAATTCATGATTGCAAATATGTTGGTTTTGCTTCTGAGAACAAAACCACCTGCATGCACCCACTATGAAGATATCCATGTTAGAGGTTTATATGCTTTTGAAAAAATTCACACAGCGTTGTGTACGTGAACTTAGATCCAGTGAAGAGCTGGACCATCTATCCATCTTTGGGCAGTATAGAATGAGTGATGAAGCATAATTTTGCTTGTCTGGGCAGACCATTGCTTATGAGATGTTGATGACTATGATTTAGTTTCTCTACTTATAAACCAGGCTGATAATACTAAATCTTTCTTAAGGGAAGTTTTTGGTAAGAGATAGAAATAGGAACAAGGAGTATTAAACATGTTAGTTTGGGCAAACATATAAAAAGATATTTATTATTCTTTACAGGTTGATGATTAGAATGTAGTATTGCTGTTTTGTGTTTTGTCCTGCAAAGTAAGGTTGTTATTACAAGAAAGACATCTGAGGAGTTGGAAGCCACATAGGGTAAAATGGACATTGTTTTTCTCGCATCGTGATCAATAGTGTATGGGGGAACTTTTCTTCTCCTGAATATCAGTATGTAGCGTCCTCTTTTGTTAATCTATTTTATTTTGTTTGTATCTGTGCTTTGCACATCTGTTAGATTTTTAAGGACTTTAGGATCAGATTAAAATCTTGGTTCTAATTTAATTCCTTTCTCAGTAATTACTTAGGTACTGACTCTGATTTCCTCAGTTAGGATACACACTGGGCAAGATTTCAATTCAGCCACTATTCAGAGTACTTATTCTGTTGTAAGTGATCTTTTAGAGACTTAATTTTTTCCTGGGAGAGTGACACTATTGGGTCCTGTGGAATCTGGGGATAGGGAAGTTGAAGAGAGGTCTTTGCTAATGTTCAGTTCTGCTGTGGCAACAAACAGTAGCATTGCCTCATGGGGACAAATTAAATTAGACTAGAGTGAGCTCTTTCCAACACTGGACTTTCTAATCTGAGGAAATGAGGGTTCCCATCGAGAGCCCAGGCTGTCTACATCCTCTGTGTTCTTTTGGCCTGGGAACTGAGAACGTGTTCCCTACGCAACCCCAAGGTAGTCTTGAAATTGAGTACACTGTGAGACCAGAAGCATCTGGAAGAATTACTGCCTACACGTTGGGCTGTGACATTTACTTTCTTCCATGGGTATGCGTTGGTAACACTGATCCTGTGGAGACTAATTATTTTTCTTGAGGCCTTATAACTATAGTTTTGAGACAGTAGTTACTGCAAATAAATAATGGCATGTGAGCTTTTCGTACAGTGAATAACTTTCAAGGAAAGGTCAGA